ATGCCATCTGGGTGGCGGTCCTTCCGGCTCTCTCGGGATCAGCTTTGGAGGTGTCGGAATGCGACCAAATGAAGGTGACCTTCTCCTCGACAAGCTTCTGCTCCTTCCACGCCGGTATCCTCTGCTACTGCCACGTCTTCTTCCACGATGATAGTCCCGGCTGTCTGATCGCTCTCTTCGGCGTCTGTCTCTTGAACGTGATCGTCTCCTCTCGTACTCTCGTTCCTGCATTTGCTTCACCTGCTGTGTCAACAACTCGACAGTCTGTAGCAAGGCCTGTGTCGCGGCATCAGGCTGACTTGTAGCGACTGATTCACCCCTTGGTTCTGCCTGTCTTGAGATCTCGGCCTTGTCACGACGACGAAGTTCAGCATCTTCATTGTACCGACTCTCTTCTTCGGGTGCTGATGCCTCGGCTGCTGGTGCTTCAGGTGCTGGTGCCTTGGGTGTTGCTGCAGCGAGTTGTGGGTCTGGTGATGCTGCCCTCACGGATCCTGGTCCTCTATGGGACATGGTGTGTGTCCCTTTTGGCACGGGGACTGGCGCCTTCGCAACACTCGCCGACTTTACCACCGCTGGTCGGAGGACTGGTGGTCGTTTCGGACATGGCGGCGGCGGTAGTACTCTGGACCCGACTGGTGCCTGGGATCTTCGATCGCTCTCTCGGGATTCCACTTCTGAATCGAATACCACCAAGCCAACATGACTGTATGTTGGAGTCGCCTTCAACCCGAACTGCCTCAAGACATAGTCCCTTGACCCCAAGGCTGCTTCCAAAGCATCATGCGACTCATGCGTGCACATCGCACATTTGCCCTTGCATGTGCCGCTCATCTGGCTCCAGGAATGATCCTGGTTGGAATGCGTCAAGGTCAAGTGAGCTCTCGGGCATAGCTTGCTGAATGCCGTTGCCAACAACCAACCAAAGGATACAGATCTGTGTCTGTTCCGCCTGCAGTAGGCTATGACAGCCAGCTGTTGTCCCTTTTCATGACAAGCCTTCAGGTGATGAAGTCCATATAGCAATGCTTCCATCGTCTTCTCGCTGCCAGTCATCCCTCGAATGATTTCCGGATGTGTACCGACGTGAGATCGCAACTGCGGGTCGTGTTGAGGATCTCCAAATCCCATGCAGTCAAAGATCAACAATCGCCTCCCGGGGTCAAATTGTGCCAAGATGGGTCCCAATGTAATCAAGCTCTTGCTGCGATCAAAGCTCGCAATCTGGGCATTGAACTCCTTTCCGCACGTCAAGACATGCACACAAGCAGGGTCATCCAACGTAAAAGTGCCTCTTGTCGGGCGCTCTTCGTCAGCCATGAATGCAATCAGTTGGTCTGATGGACGAATGTTGAAGCTCATGCCATAATCCGTGTTCTTTAGTTCTCGAAGTTGCTTTGGGAGTCTCTTGGACTTTAGGCTCTTGAGGCCTTCTGAGAGGTTCACACATAGAAGTCCTGAGTTCCTAGCTCTGCACAGTTCAAGTTCTTCGTTTCCTACATAGCACTTGGCATCACCCATAGATTTCGTGAAATGCAATGCAGCTTGAGCATGCTGTGACAAAAGCAATGGAATCTTTCCATCAACAATATGCGTTTCCATGACTCCCGGAAGTTTCGTCTCGGGGTCCAAAAAGGTCAAAGCAAATGGAATTCGACACTTGCCCAAAGTCTTGGTGTCTCCGGCGAGTCCTCGGAAAGCTTTTGAGTCGCACTGCAAATCAGCTACATCATACCCAAGACGTGCATACTTGTCTTTGGCGTTTTGGATCCATGCTTGTCCACACACAGTTGCATTACATCCTTCATCCAACACAGCCCAGACTCCAGGGTCTTCCATGATGTCAACAAGACGAAGTGTGTTTTCAATTGTGGCTTCATTGAGATCCGACAACAATCCCATGTAGCAAGTTTCCGGTGCGGCCTCTCTGATGACCTCCACGGCATTGGCAAGGATCTCGAACAGGACGCCAACCCTCACGGGTTCGCCAAATTCTAACTCACACTCAACCTCTTGTCGAAACATCTCCAAAACCTCTAGAGTTCCTTCAGCTGACATACATGCATCGTTGATTTCATTCTCAATCATGGATGCTGTCGTGTCGAATGCATTGGTGCGCATGCCTACCATGCTCTTTGCCATTGCCTCTCTCTTACGCGCCTCTTCTCGGGGCATCTCGTCGACAGTGGTTCCACACAACTTGCAGTACCAACGAGACGTGGTTTTCGAACTGCCTCGACGATCTGTAACCTCATGCTTGCATTTTGCGGGGTCGGCCGAAGGTTTGCTTTCTTTCTTCTTTCTTTCATTCTTTCCGCAGTCAAGGCATGTCTTGTTCTCAACGTAGGCATTTGAACCTTGAAATGTGAATCTGGTGCAACGACGACATGATTCCTCTAGCGGGGGGTTTGGTGGTTTTCCCTTGGCACTCTTGTCTCCAGTACGTCGAATTGCTTCTACTGGCACATCTGTCAATGGATGCTCTCTCAGGCTTACGTCTCCATCCTGACTGACTTCATAGTACGTGGTCACCCAGGTCAGAAAATCTGCCAAACAACGCGAAGGGTGCGAAATGCCTGATCCCCATTGATAGTATCCAGGATATTTGAACAACACTTCATGGTATGTCAAACCTTGGTGCTGACCAAACACAAAGACATTCTGCGAACCTTCAGGCAACAAGTCTTGTTCCATGTCCTTCTTCCTACGCGTGACCGGCGGGGACTTCTGCGGCGACCGACGGACATTTGGCTCGACCATCGAAAAGCTAGACGGTGGGCTGCTGGTCACTCCTGACGACATGGATGCACGGTCTGACGGTTCGAACTCAAGCTTCTTCTTTGGGGACATCTTGTATGCCATGTAGCACGTACCATTTTCGACAGTTTGACCACTGACATCAACACACATGTATTCACCTTCAACAGAAGACTCATCATCACTCAATGCAAAATAGGCTGTGGCTTTACTCGTCGACGACGTTCCTCCAGGGGACTTGTCGTTCTGCTTGGGGAACTTGCAAGCTGGGTCTCCTGCCCAATGTCCTTTTCCTCCACAACGCAAGCATTTGGACACTGACTTCAACTTTGCTAGACGTGCAATCCTGTCTTGCACGCTCAACTGTGTCCTGAACACATACTTGCCTTTCCCCTTGCTCTTTCCACCTTTCTTTCCTGAACCTTTACCTTTGCCTTTGCTCTTGCCCTTCAACTGGTCAGTCACGACAAAGGCCATCATTTGATGCTGGGCTGCGCTGCCCAGTTCCTCTGAAACATCGTTTTCTTCATCATCACACTCTCCCATTGCCATCAACGCTGTGGCAACTTCAGGGTCTTCGATATAGTCTTCATGTTCTTCATCATCTGGTTCTTCATCTTCTGCTGCGACATAAGCTTCATGCTCATAGTCGTCCTCTGCTTCTGCCTCATAGGAATCTTCATAATCCCATGAGTCATCTTCAACAATGTACGCAGATCTTTGCCAACTGCGCCCTTTTCCTCCTTTGTAGGAAGACTTGCCTGAAAACTTGCCTCCGCCTTTCTGCCTCCGAGTGCTCGTGTTACCAAAAGCGGACCAGCTGCGCAAGTGAATCTGTCCATGGAATTCAAGCAAGAACTTGGCGTAGACGTCAAAGGATTGGTTGTCGCCTGCAGCTGTTTTGATCATGAGCTGTTCTGTCTTGCTCAAGCCAGAACCTTCCAGAAGTAGCTCACCACGCATGGGGTCTGAAAGACTTACCCCATCATCCATCTCCAAAAGCTTCCTCCACCAACGACGTCTTCGTGAAATGTAGCTAGTCATGCTTTCTGTCGTTTGGCGAGACAAGGGACCATGTGGGAGTTGACCCACTCTGAACAACTCGCGTGCTTCTTGTTGTCGAAGTGGAAAAACTTGTGCACGGATACGCGATATCAATTCATCAATGCCAGTTGGAGTCAACAACTTCTCCAATCCCATGTCCTGAGCTGTGAGGTATGCATCACCTCTCAGACCTTCCAACACCTTGTGAACAAGTGTTGCATACTCTGCTCCATCATCATCCAGTCCGGCAGTGCTCAGAGCTGGTTCTTCTTCTCCTGCTACGCTCTCGGACTTCGGGGTTCCAAAAGCTTCAAGTTGTGCCTCGTCATCCTCTGATACATCCCCAGCTTCGGTCGCATGAGTCGGCCTCCTCTGAGAACGTTCTGGTGTGGCTGATTGGCTTCCAGGGCTCGAATAGGTCTTCTCTGACTTCTTCTTCGCATGTTTCTGCTTGTGCAAAGCAACGCGGACCTTGGTGCGAAATTCCCATTCGAAGAAACCATTTGGATTGCCACTGTAGATATATGATCCGCTCTTCGTCTCCTGTGGTCCTGAGATACTTCCTCCATGGGATGTGTACCGCAGGCCAGCCAGCGACATCGCAACTCAACAAGTTTCGCAAAGCACTGGAATTACAACGGTTCGACGGATTGCGCGCAGGGTCACGCAATTGGGTTCAACGGTTTCGGATCCAGCGAGTCTCCCCGGGTGAGTCAGATCCTGAGGGTGCCCCTTCAGAACCTGCTCCGCTACCAGTTTGAATCTCGCACAGTTCCTTTTCGCAGCAGCGAATCAGCTCAAGGGCCCTGTTCAGCCGAAACAGCAGCGACGGTGCATCAACTGTACGCAATACACCCTGGCTACAACAGCTGAAATTCACACATGTGTTTGACCTCCCGCATGATGACCCATTCAAAAAGAACGTATGGCCGTTGACCAGCAAGGTCGTGTTCTCAACGGATTGCGTTCTGCCAAATCACAGCTTGGGCAGATTCACACGGAAACTGATGGCATGATATGATGATATGGCATGGACCTTCGCAACACTAGCTTCCTCCACAAACCAGTGGTTTTCAGATTCCATGCCAATCTTCCTGTATATATATAGTACAAAAAGAGACCCCCCCGTGAAACTCACTGTCAAATCCGTGAAGTCCTTCCCAGAACCTCCCAACCCCACGGAGGTTCGTCCAAGGAGCTGCCAGGTGGATCGGGCAGAATTCCTCAGAAGGTCTGAAGAGGAGGCAGCCGCCCGAACTGCGTTTTCGCTGGTTGACATCTTGCTTGAACTTGTGCTTCTTCAGGAAGGTCTGCCTGAAAAATTGCCAAGCCATCAGGTCGCTTGGAATTGATGTTGTACGATGTTGTACGCACGGAATACATCGGAATACAAATTGATGCTCCACGTGATCCTGTGTACGGGGCCAACCTGAAGTTGTGCTTGGTTCAGGAAAGTGATGATTGAGCCTACTCTCAGCTAGCCTCTGTCTGTCCGGTTGCCAACAGCCATCTCTCTGTCACAAACTCACCACCTCAAAAAGGCCCTCAGGCCCTCAAACGGGGGATAAAGACAGTCTGTTGGTCTTCTAAAGGGATCCGTAGACTCCGAACCCCATCACACCGGGAAGAAAGAAAAACACCTCCCACCCCTCAACAATGCCCACAATCACCACAACCCCCAAAGTGCACATCCCTGGCTGCTCTGGCCAGGTGCAAGATCTGCGCTTGAACTTGTCTCTTGATGTCCCTCTTCACCTTTGATCCGGTGGACTTCGGCTCGGGATCCTCATCCTCGACCTCCGGAACAAAGAGACCCGGGCTGCCCAGAACCGAAGCCCGGTGGTCGCTTTCCCCCGGAACGACAGCGAACGACCCGGTTTCACCGGTGGTCGGGTCCAGACTGGGTCTCCAGAAGGCTGGGGCAGTGACCGGATCAAGCAGGTCGTCCCATTCCTTTTCGATGTTTTTTTCAAGGTGCATCTTCACATCTGCAAAAGGTGTCAACATCGAAGCTGGGGCCAACTTAACATCTTTAACCAGCTTGATCCTAGAAAACTAAAAAATATATATGTTCAGAACCATGTCATGTGAGAAAATACCTTTCTCAAATAGATCCAACATGACCAGGACCCCAACTGTCTGAAAAATAGATGATAACATAGCTGCAAATCTTTCTCGATCAAACTCGGACACTCTACACGATCGAAGAGATAGGACCCTCCCCCCGCTCGCCCGAACCCGCTCTCCCGAACCTAGGCAAGTGCAAACTGGACATGACAAAAAACATGCACTTGCCCGAACCCGCCTCAGACTCACTCAGCTCCACCTGTGTGGAGCACTCCATGTGCTCCGGCACGCAGGGATGGAAGACGAGCTCTCCCGGGAGCGCTTGCGACCCGCTGCGACGTGGGGCCATTGCCGCCGGCGACACCGTCGCACGCGCGAAACGAAGGTCGGCCTGCTCCCTGGGACCAGACGTCGCAGCGGTGTCCAAGATGTCGTTCATTTTTCGGATGTGCCGGTTTCATGTGTAAGAGAGATGCAGATCATGGGGGACAGAGACAGAGAAACATGCGATCAAGTCAAGAGGATCAGGTAGTTGTGCTGACCTTGTCATCTTATCATCCATTCGACAAGGTGAGTGCTGTACAGGTCATCTCATAGAGGTTATCCACTCCGTCCATAACGGCCACCACTTGGTGGCACCAAATGGTTTGTCGCATGGTCACTCCAGAACGACCTCGGTGGTTCGCTCTCAGAAAACCACAGAGGATGCTGACAAAGGGTCACTTTGAAGAGACAAATCATGTCTTCTCTCCACCACAGATTGGGCCCTCTTTCATCTTCATGGGGTTGTCTGCAAGGTGGTTCACCAACACCACAGTGGATCTTGCAGGAAGAAAATCCGGAGACTCGACTCCTCTCCGCTGAAAATCTGTGTGTTGGAAACTGCAATCGGTTGAAGGCTCTTGCTATTGGCTGGATCTACATTGATTGCATTCTGCAACTGCAACTTCCTAAATGTTTCATCTCCCATCTCCCCCATCCCCCATCTCTCGCATCATCCCTCCCTCACCACTCAAGATCCACACTCCTTTTTGCAGGAAAGAGGAAATGATAACGGTCTCGTGGAAAGCTGCTGGGCTGCTGGCCAGCAGATCATCCTTTTTGGTCACCAATCCTCTTGAGCTCTGCTATCCAGAATCGGAAAACAAGATCAGAAAACCAGTTTGTCAGCTTTTTCGGTGCATTCTTCAGAGACTTTGATCGAATCGTTGGACCGAAAAGAATGTGGATCCCTGGCCACATGAAAAAGTGCAGGCGGAAGCATTCAAACCGAACGCTTCGGGTGCCCGCTGAAATGAATCCACGTTTCTTCTTCTTTAAACACCATGTTCGTCCGCAGGATCTCTCGCGTTCGTCTGAGTCACGGAGACCGAACGGAGACCGGGCTCGAGGAGCATCTCCGAAGTCACCGAAGGATCCTCCAGAAAGGCCCGTCTGCCAACCGGAAGCGATGTGAGGGAGCTTCAAAAAAGACGGACCGGGGGCCGCCGTAGTAGCTTCGGGTGCCTTGAAAGTACGTACCAAATGCAACTATGACTATGATCCTCCCTCACATGGGCTGAAACAACCCATGGAAAATGGTTGGACCTTGAACCCACAGCGCCGCGCGCACAGCTCTTCAAAATCCAAGTCGATTGCCGGCAGTAGCCCAGTTGAACATTAACATGGGCACCAAATTGTAGTAGAACGACACAATTATATACACACACTATATTTTGAGTACAGCAGTATATATAACCTAGCTGAATGAAGTCTTTGTGAGACACCCACTCGAGCCGGACCCGACAAACATTGCACCAACAGCTGAGATGGTGAAAGCATACATACAGTATATAATTGGACCGTAGACCGTAGCGCTGTAGCAGCTATAGATTTTCGATGATTTTCGTGATGATCAGACCAGAATTGGTCAAATCAGCTGTTTGCGCAAAAGAAAATGGTGCAGCGCCATGTTCGGAAGAGTTCAAATACTGATGTGTTTTCAGCAGTGACCCCGATCAATCCAAGGAAGATTACCTTTGTCCTCTGACCAGCCGTTCTTGTGTCGAGGGCGAGGGGGTTCGACACGTCCAAGAAACAGGGACTTGGATTTGCCGTCCAGGAAGTCGGTGAAAAAAGAAACAAAGGTCTGAAGACCCAAAGGAGATTTACCATGATAGGATATGATAGGATCCCATAGGCAATGTAGAAAGAAAATCACCGTAAGAGCAAAACCAGGGGATTTTTTATAGACCAAGAATACCGTCCAAGAATACCTTCCAATGCATCTGGCAGAAACGCCGGGGCACCATCAACAGAGGGTCAAAGGAAACCACAAGCTGGCAGTAAAGGTGTGGCTGGAACAAACCATATCAAACCATCAAGGAATATTACGGCTTTCTTGTAACTGTTGACGTAGTACACACTGTCGTCTTGCAATGTGATTCAATTGGCACAATTTTGGCGCTGGGCAAACCCCTAGTCTCGGGGTAACTGTTTTTTCTGCAAGAAAATGGGAGGATGTGCAAGGAGTCATCAACCTTGCTGAAAGCGGGCCACCGCAACTGGCCGTCAAACGTGACAGGAGGTCTTAGCCTCTCAAGTTGCTCAAGATGAAAAGAAAGCAAGATGGAAATGAACGCAGTTCGATTGAACTGCAAGACGAGCTCACAGGCTTGGTCACGACGAACTGCACGACGTTTGTGACCGGGAGGTGCATCGACGAATGTTGGGAGATCTGCCCAGGTTGGGAGATCTGTTTCGTCTTCTGACCGAGCCTGTGTCACAGGCTCACTTTGTGCTGGTTCACCAGCTTTCGAAGACCCCTGACGGGCAGAATCTTCACCGGCGCTTGAAGAAGATCGATGATCTTTTGGTGTGATCCCATCACATCCGCGGCATATGCGATGTCAATCGCTTTGCCTCGGGCGAACAAAAAACGCGCGCAGTGCGCGAAGAGGGCACGCCCCTCTCAGGCTGTTCAATCAGCTTCACCCAGGTTTAGCCGTAGACCTGGAGGCCTAGTAACACCAGAAGACATCTCTCGAAGGGATCTTCTCTTGAACACGGTGCTTTGCTACTTCCCAGTCATGCAAGTGTCCCATAATTAGATGATGAAGGGACTGTCCACACAGGTTTAGCTGGTCAAACCAGGCGTGAAGGACACGCACCCCCAAACCTGATATCGATGGATCTGGAACTTCTAGAAGAACCTTGTCACAGCACCGAGGTCTCTCCTGTTTGCACCGAGGTCTCATTGAATCGAGTGTGACATCCATCCGATCAGGGTTCTTAGTAAGATACGCTAAGTATCATGGCTTTGCCCCTGAGTATCGATTTCGGGTGATGCTTAAAGTGTAGCAACTAAAATGAACATGTCAAACAAATAGACATGTCAATGGGCTGATGGGTTCCAAGTCACACAGAACCCCAATAGGATCGGACGGTGCAGGGACCAGAAGAATTATGTTTAAAACAACTGCACTCAACCCCCCCGAAACACCTTACAACAATCACAAACACTATTTTTGCATTAGTTTTGCTTCGGCCCCCTCCCCCCAAGGCCGCCTGCTCTCTGAGTACTCACGGCCAGGCCCGCCTCCACCTCCGCTTCCCGGGATCTCCTGCTCTGGGTCCGCGCCGGCGCGCAGGAGCAAGCGGACCAGGTCGAAATCGCCCAGATGGGCCTCAAGAACATGGATTGGGGATGGACTTGGGGATGATTTCATGAATTTAGGGTCTCAACTTACTGTCAAAATACCAGGTCACTGGAAGTTCTGCAATCTTTGCTTCAGCGATGTGCTAAGTAGATCGGATGGTCATCAGGATTTCAGATTTCACCAGGCATCAATGGAGGTTTCAATCCGCAACACTGTTGAACTGCCAGGTGAACACCAAAATGAAATGAAAAGATATGAAAAGGATTCCTTTCAATCCGCATCCCATCTCATCCCATTTCCTCCCCCACCCTTTCAGAAGAAAACATGAAAATGATTCACTTCTGTCCTACACGTGAATGCAGCACGTTAAACCGCGTTCACCCTTCTTCACCTGTTTGACACTCATCTTGTGACCCGAAAAGGATCCTCATCCACACCCACTTCCACCCCCGTGACCGCCGCCGTGTGTGGGACGTTTCACCTGGGGTCGGTCAGGGGCTCTCCCTGGGTGTTTCAGACGACCCACGTGACCCACGCGGGCGACGCCTGACACGACGTGAACATATGGTTCGAAAAAAGGTGACCCAACGGAGGTCTTCACAGGTGCACCGTCTTTTGATATACTGATACTATATAGTGGATTGAGAGTAGATGGCACAGACCCCAAGAGGTGGTTTATATGGACCCCCATCTAAAGGACATCTTGGGGTCTGTGTCATCTACTCTGAAACCACTGTATATCGAATATACTCTTACTGTGAGCACTTGATGAAGTCGCATGAAGTTTCTGGGTTCTATTTGTTCGCCGTTTACAGCCAAGTGGCCGCCACATGAATGGGATAGAGCTTTCCATCTTTGGAAACATCCACCCCCTGGAAGCGGTTCTGCTTCAAGAATTCTCGCCTCTGAAACCGGAGCTGCGGATGCCAAACCCGGGACAGCGGTGGTTCCGCAGAGTGTTTGTCGCTGGACCGGGAACTACTTGAAACTGCTGATAAAGCTCGAAAAGGTGGTCCGGAAAACGAATATGTCAGGTCAATTCAGGTCATGTATTGAGCGATTAAAGGCATCAATTGTACTTACCAGATCTTGCAAGCAGTCAGTTTCGGTGTTTCACCAATACCCACTGCTCACTCTTTGGTGCCTGCCATGGAGGCTCAGAATCGCAAAGTCAAATCGATAGTGTGAGGTCTCGCTGCATCTAACTGTAGCTTTCTACAAACCTTGATCCCTTTCACTTCTCCCAGACCACTTGTAGCTTTGGCAGGTCCCCAAGTCCGAGAATGTTTTTTCCACGGGCGTATGGCAACATGGTCTCTTTTTCGTAGCTTGGAGTTGTCTCTTTGGTGCCACGAGGATCTTCTCGTTCAGTCCGCCCGCTTTCCACCTGTCCCCTGGTGTTTTTGCCCCGCTTTCGAGGCACGTGGGGAACCCCCACGGGACTGAAAGATCCCACTGGAGCGAGCTCCGGGCCAGGTACGTTACGCTGAAAAAGTCCTTGTCTAAACATGCAAAAACATGAGTGAATTTCTGCTTTGTCGAAAACGCGCGTATCTCCATTGGGCCAAAATCGTTAGGTTGCATCGCATGCTCATCAGCCCTGATGTATCCCACAAAACGCGCGGTCAAATCGTGTTTATTTACCTATGCCTGACTGACACACTGCATGTTGAATGGTGCCTAAGTTGACGGTTTCAACCAACCAACCAACCAACCAACCAAAGGTTACGATTCGGTTTTGGGCGCCCGGCTATGACGCTGCTCCGGGGCAATTGGATCTTCTGCTGCTCTTGCTTGATGCGTCGCTTGGCTTTCGCAAGGTTCCCACGATCGGTGGGGCTCTCATCCATCACCTGACGCGAGAGACATCCACTCATCAACCCATCTGGGCAAGAAATTGCATCTGGAAATTCACACGGAACTTGGTGAATGATCATGGATGTTCAAGGGGTGTCCAATGAAGATCCCTACATAGTGTAGGGGCTTCCATTGGTGACCCCTTGGAAGGTGCTGGATGGTTATATAATGTTTAGTAGTGAATATCATTGAATCTTCCAAACTAGAAAGTGTCCGCGCCCTTGCAGTTCCAGTGTCCTTCCGAGACTCGTGGCGAACGATGCTTCCAACAGCTTAGTTCAAATAACATACAATTGGTGAAATTTGAAAATGATTCTAATGATGGGGTCTATGCAGTGGGGTATATGAAGTGGGGTCTATATATATAACTATATATTCTAATACCCCTTCTGTATGCAGTGGGGTCTATGAAGCACTTTTGAGGACCCACACCCGCCGGACACTCCGCCGAGACACAGGCCGCTTCCACCATCCGCCCACCTTCGTCTCCCGCAGCGATGCCATGGAAGTTCTCAACGGACCACGGACACTTGCTGCAAAAATTAAGAAACCCTAGCTGCACCTTGAAACGGAATCTGCATCATCGTGCATCATTCTGGATTCAGGTACG